GTTCATATTCTTCATTAATTTGTTTTTTATTCTTTTTTAGTTCATTTTCAATTATTCAAGATTGAATCATTTCATTTCAATTACTATGATTCGTTTTGGCATGAAATATTCTTTTCCACAAAGTGCATTTGATATTCCTTCATATTCAAATGAACGTTGACCACAAAATGACCATGTTTTATAATTTTCTTTATAAACAATAATATCAGCTCCACTTCCAAATGCAAACAAATAATTATCTGCTCGATGATATAAATAAAATGCATATTGTGGTTGTTTAATATCAAATTTCATCATTCCTTCATTTCTTCCTTTTGATTCTAATGAAAATACAAATGAATGTGAATCATATATATAACCATCAACTTTATCAATTTTAGAATTAACATATCCCCCAAATTTATTTCCGTCTTCATCTTCAATAATAATTGTTATATGTTCTTTATTCATTATTCTTCTATCAAATACTGATTTAATTCTATTCCAATCATCTTTATCTGAATCAAACAGTATATTATTTATTCTTTTTTCCGTCAATTCTTCAATTTGGTTAATATACATCTCATCCATTTTAATTTAATTTGATATTTATAAGTTTAAAATATGAATGTTTAAATAGTTAATAAACGTTATTAACACATCAAATTAATTATTATTTTTATCATTTTATTTTAAATAAATGTTATTTTTATTTTTTTTACAATAACAATAATTATATAATAATATTAATAATATAATAATAATAAAATTATAATATTGTTATTTTCTATAATTAGTTTATTTTATTTTTAGTATTTTTTCATTTTTTTTAAAAATAACAAAAAATTGAAGAGAAGAAAATTCAATTCTGTTTTATTGTTGTTATTTTATCGTTTGTGATTTGAATTCTCTTGTTTTAACAACACCATTTCAACCAATTAATTAAATAAAGATAATAAATGATAAATAAAATTAAGATAATAAAATAAGAATAAGAAATAAAAGAGAAAAGAAATGATATAATTATTATAAACACATGATGAATAAAAGAAAAGTCAATTATTAGATATATCCATTATTGGATTTTCTTCATACTGAGAAGTGATTGCTTCACTTTCTTCATTATGCTCTATTGGTGTAATAGAGTTTATTTCAAACACGATTGGAATTATTTCTTCTAATTCTAATGTGCTGCCAGAATTGAATGTGTAAAACATTAAGTCTTTCATATTTTTTATAATTATTGTTCGTAGGATTTTGGAAAAGTCTAATTGTAATTTCAGTGATTTTAATCTTCTTACTGACTCTTTGTGAATTAATCAATTTATAGATAATATTACAGGTATTATTTCTACATATATTATTTCTCTATTATTTCTTAATTTCTCTTGTAATTCTTTGTATTTATTTATTTTGTGAATATAATTTAATTCTATATTCATATCTTGACATATAGCAACATCTATAATATATCCTTTCTTTTCTGTAATATTTTGATATTATATATCTTATCTTCTAGCATGGAAAGAATTGTCACTAACCAATAAATCTTTATTGTAAGTTATTACCATTTTATCATTATTAATACATTTTGGAGGATTATTAAAATCAATTGCATCAAATTCATTAAATTGTGTAATTAATATGTGTTTAAATATTTGTTTACAAACATAATCATGTTTTGATATTTGATTCTTTTTCATTACAGGACATCATAACAATATATGATTAATAGATGCTATTGTGTTATGACAATGTTTACAATATTTTAAAGCATCATTTTGGAGTATTTTTGATTTAATACTTCCTGTCATACTTACTCATTCTTGCATCTTTACTATTTGGAGGAATGCATTTCTTTTTATGTTTAATGACCTCCAAGTGGCTACTGTTGATTTCTTATCATTGAAAGTGCCATTTGCACATCTTATATATTCACCACATTTCTTTTCTTTCCATTCATTTAAATATCTATCATTTAATTCATTAGTTACAAATTCAAATATTTTCTTTACATCATATTTTATTTCATTTATTTCTATTATCTCCATTAATTCATTAAAATTAATCTTTTTACCAAATACTTTCTTCATTCTTTTAATTATTCAATTTGGACTTTCTTTTATTGCTTCTATCATTTCTCATATTCCTGTATTTGATCTCCACTTATATTTTAAATATATTCTTAATAATTCTTTACCACATTCATCTCTTGCTGACATTAATTCTAATCCCAATTCATTTATTTTAACATATAATATACTTTTTGGGATATTTCTACTGTATAATTGGAATTGAATTAATGATTTTCTTATTTGTTTATCTATCTTCTCCAATTCTCCTAGTTTCCATGGGACAAACAAAATCCATATCTTAATTTGGAGATTATATCATTATTAATCTTTCTTATTGTATTGAGGCTGCTGTACTTCATAGTATTTAATGATGATAAAATAGAAGATATATCATTTAATATTCTTGTACAATATTTATTAATATTTACTTTATCTCCTATTTCAATACCAAGATATTTATAATGATTGTCATTAGTTACTCTTGGTAGTTCAGCTAATTCACCATTTATTTGACTATTAATATTAGTCATTATCTCCATCTTTTCTACATTAATTTTTAATATTATTGCATTAAATATTTCTTTAGTTAGTTTTAGGCTTTTTCCATTTCATCGAGGCTATTATTCATTAATTTTAAATCATCAATATACAATATGTGGTTTAATATCACTTGTTTTTCTTCTCCATTCATTTTAATATTTAATTTGTTAATTTGTTTATCTAATTGTTTAGATAATATAACAATAGATAATACAAATAAAAGTGGAGATAGGCTGTCACCTTGTATTATTCCTCTTTCTACATTAATTATACCTACACTTTCTTGATTATAATATAAACTAAGATATGTATTATTTAATATATATAATATACTATTAATTACTGCTAGTGGGTATTAAAATAAATCAAACATTGTTTAATCCATTGGTGGTTAATACTATCATATGCTTTGGAGACGTCATAATATGTTTCTACCAACTTCCATTTATTCTTATTAATAATTGAATGGTTATAGTATTGTATAATAATCCTTCTTTTGATAATATGTGTATTTCTTACATCCAATTTGATTTAATGAGAGTTGTTTTTCAATTTGATTTAGCATCAATTGGCTTTCTATTTTCATCTTTAATATTGATATATATACTTTTAACAGACAATTTAAACAAGTTATTTGTCTGTAATTTTGATTGTCTAATTTATCTCCTTTTTTATATATTAATATTGTTCTTCCTTGAATAAAGTGAGGAGGTATTTCATTAGGATTGTTTAACCATTCATTAAATAATTTTATTAAATATTTCATTGGTTGTTCTAAATATTTAATCTAAAACTATTGTATTTTATCAATTTCATTTTACTTTCAAATTATCAATGAATTTAATAGCACAATCTAGTTCATTGGGAGTGATTATTGATATCTATCATTAATTCTATTTTCTATTAATATTTCATATAAATTAATATATTGATAAAATCTATATTGGTGTTAGTTTCATAGATTCATTTCCAGAAATTAATATAATAACAAATTAACTAATACATAAATATAATAAAATAATATGTAATAATAAAAATAATTATAGTTATTCTTAGAAGTGAAAATTACTACCATATTATCTTCATTTTACTTCTCACACTTTATTATTGAAAAGAAAATACATAATATTTAAACCAACGACACAACCTTTTTTCACAAAGGTTTATAGTAGTAATGAACAAAGTTAATAGACTTTATTCTAACTTACAGCACTTTATTGTCTACCTCCTAAAACAAAAATTCCCACTCTCATTATAAAAAATAAAAAAAACATTAAATTTTTATTTCCATGGTTGTGTGTTATTGGCTAAGTCTTATAAAATCAATTTTACTAATAATATACGTTATAGGTTTTACTGCAAATAATTTAATGAAATACAGCAGTATCTTTTTTATTTAAACTTATTAAATTATTCCCTCTCTTTACACCAATATTCCTAGAATTTTTTATGAATGATTTATTCTTTAGAATGAAAGAAGAAACTAACTTGAGTTAAAACAAGAGTCAATAAAAAAATGTAATTTATAACAAAAATATTTGAGAAAGAAAAAAAAAAGAAAAAGGGTTATAAAAATAGGAACAGGGTTATATAGATAATTAAAAAAAAAGAGAAAAGAGAAAAAAAGAACTTATAAACTAAAGAAACCAGTATTAACTGTTACTAATGACTGATCCAACTAACCAAATTCCAGACTATGTTCCAACCACTGAAACTAAAATGGATATTGAACCAGCAAACAAAGATAATTATGTAGGAACAGTTGCATTTAGTAATATGAATCTTAAAAAAGAAATATTAATGGCTATTACTGATTGTGGATTTGAACATCCATCTGAAGTTCAATCACAAGTTATTCCTAAAGCATTATTAAAACAAGATATTTTATGTCAAGCTAAATCTGGAATGGGTAAAACAGCTGTATTTGTTATTTCAATTTTAAATCAAGGACTTTGTCTTGGAGATTATGTATCAGCATTAGTTATTTGCCACACTCGTGAACTTGCAGTACAAGTACAAAAAGAATTTGATAGAATGAAAAAAAGACTTTGTGAAGCAACAGGAAAAGAAATTACAACAGGTACATTTGTTGGTGGTTTTGATGAAAAAAAAGATGTTGAATTTATTAAAACAAATAAACCAACTATTGTAATTGGTACACCAGGTAGAATTGCATCTCTTGTTAGACAAGGAGCATTAAATTTAAGTAAACTTGATACATTTGTCATTGATGAATGTGATAAAGTTCTTGGATCAGCAAATGAAATTGATATT